CCAGCGGCCCCTGCCATGGCGGCCTCACGCTGAGATTGATGTGACACTATTTATGTAACAGAGGTAGAAAGGGAGGAACAGAAAGAGAGAGATGAATGGGTGGAAGAAGAAACAGGGAACCGCTTCTCACTCCTTCTCTCTCTATATTTGTGATGACCAATAAAAGATTTTATTTTATTTTTTAATAAACAGATTTCCATGAAGGTAACGTGGAGAGGAAACTGTCCTTGCTGTTGGTGGTGCGTATAACGAATTAGTTTTTATTTATTTATTTTAATTTTACTTTTTTTGGGGGGGTGGGGGAGAAATTATAACGAATTAGTTTCGATTATTTATTTTATTTTAAATTAGTTTATTTTAGTACTAAGATTTATGAACAATAGAACGTGATGAAGTGAATGACATCGTCATTTTTAGATCTCAAAATGGCTAGATGAAAATTTTCATAGACGCTAAACTAATGTCTAATATAGTCATAGTTATGATCAGTCAATGACAATCATCTTTATATTTTTCAATGCAATCACTTTTAGTCCAATCAAGTCTCACTAGTATATAACTCAACAGTCATTTCATGACTCAAATGCATTTCAATCTATATATATGTCTATGTTAAATTTTGTTAGATATCATAAAACTAGGAAGGGAAACAATCTCAAGGAATCTCAATAAATTTTTGTGGAGTCATTATTTTGTGGGTCCGTCGACTTGATTTACCAATATCCAAAAAAGAATCTACATACCTGCACATTATACAAGCATATAGTTTTGCGAATTTTCCAACAAGTACTATTAAACAATATGATCAATATTATTGATGTGTTTTCAATATTTTTTTATCATCTGACACAAATCTTGGTGCTTTTTTATAAGGAATCTTCCAAACTTAAATTTAAGATCATTTAGAGCACCGATTTCAGTAAGTTTTTAGTTAAACTAATTGTTTCGACAAGACGAACTCAATGATATCAAAGTTGGGTCAATCCAAGTTCAACCAAACCCAAATCAAGTCATTGAAGCACATTTAGAGGTTTAGGATAACCAATTGAATGGTCCGATGAATTTCAAATTTGTCATAATTATAGTCAAATCGAACATCTTGATAAGAGAAATCCAAAGATCTTAAAATCACTCAATTCCAAGGTGATTAAAGTACTTAAATCATTAAAAAAAATCTAGAATCAAGGGATATCAATATGGAACGTCTAGAGAAGTTATTAAAAAAAAACAAACAAAAATGCCCCCTCTAAAAAGCCAATAAATAGACCCCATCTCTATGAAGCCCCTTAAGCAACTAGAAGGCAAATTCTTAAACATTGAGGGGTCTTTTTTGGTGCAATGATGGAATTCCATCTTAAACTCCAAACAAGTGTGCTCGTCCTGGAGCACTCTAAGATGGGTGTCCTCCTAGGAAGTTATACCAACGGGACAAAACAGTGAGACTGTTATGCCAAAATGGACAAAGTTTGGGCATTTGCATATGGTATCAAAGCATTGCACCATTGAAAGATGAGAACTAGGTGTCATACAGAACAAAGTAATACGCTATGGGAGTAACCTCTTGAAGTTATAGATGCCACATCTAGAATCCTATCTGTATGGTGGATGATTCTGGGTATAAAGCACTAACAAGGACGTGGGTACTTAAGTGAGGGAGATTATAAAACCCCTTAAGTGGATTGAAGTCCAACTCAAACATCGAGAGGTGTCATTTTGGCTTAACAATGACATTTCATTAGAAACTCCAAAACTAAGCATGCTCATCCTAGAGTACTCCTAGAATGGGTGTCCTCCTGAGAAGTTACACCAACGGGACAAAACTGTGAAGCTGCTACACTAAAGCGGATAATACATTGATGAGTGAGAGTTTAGGTTGTCATGTTCTCTTCACTTGGAGGGGAAGGGAAGATGAATTCCATAACATGTTATGCAAAGAAGACTAAACGATAACCGCCACCCTCCATATCCGCCAACCGTGGTTGACCACTGCCCGTCCAACACCATCGACCACCATCCACTAACGAAAGCTTAAGAAGCTCCAAAACCTAGAGGAGAAAGCTAAAGCCTTAAGCCCTTGAAGGTTCTTGAGCTCCACCATTGTCAGACCATCACCCACTGGTCGTTGCCACTATCAAACCATCGCTTTTTGGCCGCTGTCGTTGAGCCGCCGCCATTGCCAACCAACTGTTGTTGTTGAGCTGCCGCCACCGTTGGCTTGTTATTGTAGCTTCTCATCCAATATCTTCGAGCCACCACAATCATTTCCAGAGCACTGTCGCCGCTTTCCAACCACTGTCTGACTGCTGATATCCTGCCACCATCATTGAGTCGTTGCCACCATCGAAGCACAGTTGTTTGGTCACCGTCGTCGTCATGAGTCCACCGCCACAATCAGACCATTACTGCCCGACCACCGCCATTGAATCACTACCACTGCTAAACTAAAGTAGCCGCTTCCCAACTAGTGTTATCCGGCCACCTCTACTGAATACACAAACAACAAATTTTATGGCATATAATCCCTATCATGTGCTTTTCTTCGCTGATGTTAGGTCACCGTCATTTCTTGGCCATTTTTGTCACTTCCCTAGCAAAGGCCATATTCTTTTTTTTCTTATAATATTGCTTCTGACTATTAAGGATTTTTTACTCAAATCGGCATATTTGAATCATTTGCCTCGTGACTCCCCTTCGAGTTTTCCACAAAAACTCCTAATGCCTTTTCTATCGATTTTAAACTTTTGCGCGTGTGTCGGATGTTCGAACAACACTAATAATATAATATATCACTTTATCACAACGAATCTATGAGCACTCAACAAGGAAATTAGTAATGATAGAATAATTTATGATTATTAAAATAATTTATTATTTACTTATTAAAATAAGTTAAATAATATATTTATATCAAAACCAAAAAAAAATATTCATTTATTTTACTTCAAAAATTAAATTTATTCTTAGAAGTGAAATTAAGTTAATACAACATTCTAATTTAAAATAAGGGGCAATTACATACATACATTCCAAAATTAGTTGTAAATCAACCACTCTTTTTTATCCATTTTTCAATTCTCACTCAATTATCAAAATCCATGATAAAAGCCCAACCCATATTTTTCGTTTTTGTCAAATTCTCAATTGTTTGATTATGGCATGCGTAAATACATTGCTACGGTAGTTCAAAAAAATCAGCTAAGTGCTTAATTTGTAAATATCAATATTTCTAGTGGTCTGTATGCATATATTCCTTAAAATAGTGATTGAAAATCTATATATATATATATATTTATTTATTTAGTTAAAAGGAATGGACTGAGGTTATTATACAAGCCCCGACCATCCCCGATGCGCTTAACAATTCGAGTCACACACCCTTCACCTGGGGGAATCGAACCCCATACCAGAGGGGACTTATAAGTGACAAGTAGATGCCCAACCAACTGATCTAAATACGCTGCGCTATATATATATATATATATATA